TATGATTATTTATTTATTATTAAGGTTTAAGATGATATGATTAAGGTTAACAAGCAGCGAATTGTCTTGGTTGTTAGGCATTCTTCAATTCATTTTGTTTCAAATGCAAATCCTCTGCCTTCTCCTCGTGTATATTAGAGAAGAAGATCGCTTGTAATCAAAAGATTGTTTAGGATTAGATCTTTATAAATATTAAAAACATCTCCTATAATTTTGTAGGAATCAAAATCTTGGCAAGATGTAGTCTTTTCATGATATAGCGTTCTTGACATTTTTGCGTCATATTCATCAAGTCTACCGATTCTGCACAGAACCAATTCTTCTTCACCACTAATCATCTGCAACAAATGTGACTGAGGTAGGAGACAGACAGGGACATTTTTAATTATTAGTCAAAAACATCCACAAGATGCAAAAGGCCGGCATGAATGGTCGCAATATTCGCTATTTTTCACCCGCTAAATTCAAGTGCTTGAAAACTTTGTTTTCCTATTCTCTTGCGACCGGCCACATAGGTGACTGCTTGAGGTTTTGAAGGTTGGCGTTTGATGAAATGCCCCAATAAGCATTGGGTGCTGCCTGCAGTTTTGTGTTGCTTGCCTATTGCTTGGGCGTGCAAGACTTATGAAAGGGCCTGTTTTCACACCAATTTTTAAGAAAAGAAGCGGGAAAAAAGGCAATCACTAATAACAATTGAAGGACACGAATATATCTTCTTTGCATGGGAAATTATAATTTAACCTTAATGCTAGGAAGTCATGGAAGGAGCTATTGTTGGGAGATGAATGCTATTACTGCTTCTATTCTCATTTTTTAGTACACTTCATTTTTGAGTTGTTCAAGTAGGTTAGCTCAAGGTTTGATGATTTGACAGTTGGTTCTTTAACCTTATATATGCTACGCCTAGATGTGCATGTTTCTTTTGGAATGTGATAAGGATGTGCATGTATTGCATATTTGTAATGGAGGAGAACGCATATTTGGTTGATATATTGGTGAACTTAAAAGAATCAAAGAAATTGGCAATGCTAATATTCATCCACTCCCCGATCGGCAGCGTGCGGGGCGGGTCGGCGTCCGGGAGCTCCGCCCAACCAACCCAACAATCAAGATATTCGTACTACATACTATCGATTTTTCTTCAAAAACAAAAAGGAGATTATATTCACACAACCCAAATTACTTTTCGCACACCTTTTTAATTTTTTTAATATTTTTTTATAAAGGGATAGTGGTGTGTAGAAAATATTAAAAAATTAAAAAGGTATGAGAGAAGTAATTTGAGGTGTGTGAATATAATCTCTCAAACAAAATTGCAAAATTAAGAAAAAACACCACTTGAATATATGAAACATCGAAATTACATGCCTAGTATTTGGTCTCTTTTAGAGAAAAAAGAAAACCACCCATAGAATTACAGCTTAATTTTTTCTTCCTATCCAACACAAAGCTTTGTTGCAGTATTGGTGAGGAACAAACATGACCAAACACCTTCAGGCTTCAACGCGACCAAAATCGGAATTGGCCAACCCATTCATTGATACAAATGGTGGTCCCCTTCATGCTATATCAATCTGTGTAATAAAATGCTGGTTTTTTTGGTTCACGTAACTCCATGCTGTGATTTGTTAACATTTGTATCACCTCTGACATGTATGGCCGATGGGCTGCGTTTTCCTCCACGCATAGTAGACCGACTTGGATACATCGTAACAATTGACCTCTAATGGATGTTTCGATCACTAGTGTTGAATCCCTTAGTTCATCCCCTCTACCTGCCTTCCATAACTCCCATGCCTGATGAAGCAAACATTAAAATCCTTGAATATCGATCAAACCATAAAAGATGAAGAAAAAAAACTTAAAAATAATTCTGTTTAGACACACTTGCTGATAAATCCTCTAATAGAGGTGGGCCTTGTCCTTGTATATGAGACCCACAAGTATTAGAGAGTGTTAATTTTGTGTACTAAATAACATTACTCAAACGACCATAACTGCAGTGATTTGTTTAACATACATGTCCTACTAAGTTGTGCGCACGATCTTCATTGCAGAAGCTATTGTTTTTCCTACCACTTATAATTTCAAGCAGTAACACTCCATAGCTGTAGACATCAGATTTTACAGAGAAGTTTCCTCCCATGACGTACTCAGGGGGCATATAGCCACTGTAACGAATGGGGAAAGAGAATATATATGGTTAGTAAATCTCCGTATACGTACATGCATGTTTCTCAATTGAAAAAAAATGTGTGAAATGAAGCTAATGTGGATTTTTTAAATACTCACCGTGTCCCGACAATCCTCATAGTATTAGCTCCCAGTTCCTCTGTGAAAATCTTTGCCATACCAAAATCTGAAATTTTGGGCTTCATATTTTGGTCAAGTAGTATATTACCGGCTTTCAAATCTCTATGAATCACTTTCTTCCTCGAGTATTCGTGCAAGTAAACCATTCCTTGAGTGATTCCTTCAATTATGGTGAAGCGCTTTTTCCAATCTAGTTGCCGATCTCTGGTGGAATCTGTCCAACATAGGGAGTCAAGTGAGAGTGTTTTCTATGCTCTATACTGAACAGATGATGAAATCATCAAGAGCTAACATTATAAAATAGTGTTAATTTCCCACCAAATAAAAAGTAGTCCAAGCTTTTGTTTGGCATGTACTCGTATATCAGCATCCTCTCCTCCTCGTGAATGCAAAATCCAAAGAGCTGAACAAGGTTTGTATGTTGGAGTTGATAGATGAGTATTAATTCATTCTTAAACTCCTCTGTGCCTTGTCCAGAAAACTTTGAAAGCCTCTTCACGGCTACTTCTTGTCCCGTCGCCAATTTTCCCTGAAATCATAACCCACAGATATTTTTCACTTAGTCCTAAAAGAAAAAAAAAAAAACTAAGACATTAGTGTGCCGGCTGCTCAAACATGCACACTTCATATTGAAAAATGATTTTTGCACTCTTTTTCTGTATCTCTTGGGTTGAATGAATAAAAAAATATCAAGAGAAAAAAAATGGAAGGGAGGAGTGTATGTTGTCGTTTGAATAATGATCTACTTGTTCTAATTTGTAATGAGAAATTTAAAATAAATAAATTAAAAAAAAAATCAAGAAGAAGAAGGAATGGAGTTCATTACTCCTTACTGTTTAAAAACTACTCCCCTATAATATTTTCAGGAAAAATTAGCTTCCCATCCTTATTTTTCTGACTCCATTTATTAAAACCTTATTCTTTTTTAATTTTTTATCAAGGTCTTTAGAATTTAATAAACGCCATTAATTATTTCAATAATAAAATATTTTTTATTTCTAAATATATTCATTTAGTGAACATTACATTTGTTATATTCATATTCATGGCTAAATTTTTTCATCATATATTTTTATTTTTAGTTTGTATCCATTTTGAATATGCAACCCTTTTTTTAATTTGTACCAATTTTCTTTTCAGTTTTAATTTGTACTTATATATTAACTCCTTTTTGTGCTCATATTTTTTAAAGTTTTATTTGTATTTGTATCATATTTTTTAATTTATTTGTACCCATTTTTAATTTTGCTAGACCCATGCTAATTTATATGTACTTATTTTATCTTTTAAAATATATCAATAGTTAATTTTTAAAATATGTTAATAATTATGTGGGTACATTATTATTTTTGCTATAATTTTTTTGAAGAACAATATTAATCTAAAATTGATTTTTTAAGTATTTATTATATTTTAAAATATTATTTGAATTTGTGTAAATTTCATAAGTTGTGGGACATTAAATACATAAATGCATGAATTAAATATCTTAAATGAGGCTAAGGATCTCAATCAAAATATTTAAACAAACAAGATTTCAATTCAACAATTAGATTGATTAGGAATCGGAACCAAAATGACCTATATTTTTATTATTATTTAAAATATTACCTTATAAACTGTTCCAAAGCCCCCTTGTCCGAGCTTGTTTGCTTCAGAGAAGTTGCCTGTGGCAGCCAAGACCGATTCATGGGTAAATGCGTGTAAATCAGGGTTTAGTATAATTGCCTGATCTGTAGGTCTCGTAGCTTTGATGAAGCTAAGCAATCTTCTTTGAATCTTTGTCGCCTTCTTGCCTATTTAAATTAGTATAGTAAAAATTTCAAACTGAGGAGAATTATTGTGAAATACTGTCCAATAAATGCACATTATGCTTAAAATTACCTGCTAAAACCATAAATCCTGTTCTTCTCAGGCGATAGCCCAAGATGCAAAACCCCATTACGAGTAAAGCAGCAGCAATGGAAATGCCAATCCAGAACCACTTCTGTGTTGCATCTAGTGATAGTAACAATTAATTTAATAATTAGCTACTTAACTGGCAAAATTCAAAGAAGATTGCTTAGCTTCATTAGTAGAGCGAGATAGATTTCAGAAATAATCAATCCCCAGCGGAGACAATCCGTTTCCCAGAGAAGAAGAGGACTTCACCGGAGTTATGAAAGTGTGGGTGGCGTCTGGTGTGGGAGAAGGAGAATGCACGGTGGTGCTGAGGAAGGAGTCGCTAAGCTTAGTGGTGGGACCCTCTTCGTTATTTTAATTTTGTTGTTACCAAAAAAAATTCTCAAACTTTTAATAAAATTGTTAATTTTTTTAATATTTAATTTATTTATCAATCCAGTTGGATAAGTGAATAAGCTCGTTGCCCGCTATGTTAGCAGTTAACAACTAAATTAACAAAAAAATTATTGAAGGTTTGATATTGCAACGAATTCATAAGTTGAGGTATGACATTAGTTGGCTAACAGTCATTTACCCGACGAAATGACCAATTCATAGGGCAAATTTGGTCAAAATTTTAAGATTTACTCAAAATCTTTATGAGACGGAACAACGTCATAGGACAAGGACATATCCGTCGGGCAAGATTTTGGCACCAAGTAAAACATTTGGCCCGCAATTCATTGAGGTGAATTAGGGGACAAAGTAAAGCTCATTTGATTTCTAGCTAGTCGATGTTTGTTATTTTCAATATATAGTAAGATTAGTACATAGCTAGACTTACGAATCTTTCCCGGAGGTGGTGAATCTGGTGGGGGTGGTTGCGTTGCTGGCAAAACAAAAGTAGTATTTGCAGTGAAGTCTTCAATGAATTCACAGTCCACGCTCCAAAATCGGCATCCTGCACCAGTAGTCGGACTACCGGATGGAAAGTCGAATCCAAGGCAGTCACAACTTTGCCAACAAGTAACCTTACAATCCTCACTACCAGTACCAGGCCAGTTGGGGGGTCTCGAAGCGCTAGAGTTAACGATATTGAAGTAACCCTTTTTCTGATAAAAATCATCACCAACTTCCCAGTACAATCACTTGGCCGGTCCCTTCTCACGCACCCTCCGACTATGTTATAGCCGTCACAGTTTTGTGCTTGTATGATGTCAACTGATGCACCATATTCATAAAGTGCCCCCCTGGTGTATAGCACCCATTCTGGCTCAGGATCAGTAGGATCATCTAGACTCGTGTACGTGAGGTAGTCTTCGTCTTGATTCGAAACAATGCTAAAATTGTACCTTTTTTTGGATACATCAGGCAAAATAAATTGGAATCTGCCATCTGCATACACGCCACTAGTCCAATAAACAGTCCCGCTTCGCTTGATCTTCAGTTGGTGTGCATCGGTGTCCCATTCAAGGCTGTAAGGCCCTGACGACACAGGGTTGTCACGAGTTCCCCATGATAAAAGTGACCAATTGTACCCATTTCTATGGTCAACGCCCAATTTCATGCCTGGTAAGAATGTGTCTACTGGATAATCAAAACTTTGCCAGAAAACACGGATCGTTGATCCGCTGACAGAATTGACCTCTTGTAGGACAAAATTGCCGGAATCCAAAAGGGTGGCCACGACACTAGTATTGGGGTCATTAGTTTGGGGAGCGGAGAAAAGAACGAAAGGGTCTCCATTTTGATGAGTAATTTTCAATGTGTTATTGGAGTCCAAGGTGAGAAGTGGAGATGAAGAGGATAAAATAGGTGTGTCTCGGTTGGCAATCCATGCTTTGTTTGCACCGCTTTTAACACGGAGGATAGCAATGAAGCTGTTATCGGAACCACGGATAGCCTTTTCAATGAAATTCAAAGTGAAAGTGCCAGATGCCGAAAGTAGGGAACTTGTGGAGTTGAGAGTGTCCCCTGGTTTCAGTGTGTCTGCTGCATCATGACAAGTCCACAAGGATGCAAAGCAAACCAAGATAATTGCGTACTTGATCACTGAGCCTGTAGCCATGAATAATGACCACAAGGTTACTTCAATTTCTTCGGATGATCTTGAAAACTTGTATTTCTCCCTCTGTGGCTGCCTCTCTTTTTAGTTGTTTTCTGTTTACAAAAGTAAACAAATTAACAATAAGAGGCCGGCAAGTACTTGAGAAATAAATGAACTTCTTGTAATTACATGGAGAATTCTCTCTTTTGTTTAAATATTACAGAAAGAGAAAGACTTTGACTCATTTATATTATCAATACACAATATACCCATCCGTGTCATGGGTCTTAATTTGTCTTTCAATTCATTCCTTGTCAATTGGTTTCTTTCTTCATACGCACTCACACTCGTCCGCTTCTTAGCAACAAATGGATACTTTCCGGACAAATGGATACTTTCCGGGCAATTTTCATTGTTTTATTATGCAATACCTTGTTATCCAATATAGATGATGTCAAAGATGGCAGCGTCAACAGAAAATTGAATCGCATTTCCACATCAATTCATATTCTGTTGCAATATGCCACCAAACTCTGGATTGATATTTCGAAGTCTGAAAAGTCCTTACATAATATTTAAGAAGGTCAAGAAAATGCAACCGTTTTATGAAAAAAAAGTGAATGATTATATGTTGCAAGCATAAATAACATAATTTAGTTGATTTTTTTTTTTCTTGTGCCGAATTGCAACTATGCCTGTAACTGTAAATTTTTAAGATATAGGTGTATTTGGGTTGGTAATCCAGGCATCGAGTGTGCAGCTTTTTCTGAAACCGAAGCTGAACTTCCTGGTTTGCAGACCGTTAACTAATAAGTAGCTTGAGTAATATGCAGATTTACCTGGTTTGAGTGTGTCCCTGCCGTCTTGCAGCATGATGAGTACATAAGTCCAATGCTGCTGGCATGAATAGACTGCAGCAATCAATGAATAATGTGAAATACAAAGAAAATCAAAAGGGCCGGGAAGAAGAAACCTATCGTTTTGACATGCAAATTAAATATATGAAAATTTACCAATAATCCTCAAGCAGGAAACTGTATGTTCTAAATTGGAAATTGGATAAACAGATGAGAAGGCTAAGGGAAACAGATGAAGAAAGGGGTTGAAGGGAATTAATATGGATGACTTTTTGGCATTAATATTCTGCGCGCAAAGTCACCTTGTACGCAGTTTACTCCAATATTACCGATGAAAACCAAGAGCCGGCCGGCTGGGACGGGACCAAGTCAACTACCCGTCCATAGATGCCAAGAGAAACAATATCACATGCAGGCCTAGTACGTGCCATGATATTTACGGACTAAGCGTAGCTCAAGATGCAGGATTTTCATCGCCTAACTTGAGAAAAGGAAATAAAGCAGCGGCGATGGAAGTGTGTCAATCTTTATTGTCTGCTTGTTTGTATCTACTTTGTTAACTGCCCTTGTCTTGCAGTGAGGAGTGAGCAACAAAACAACTAGCTTTAGCCATATTAATATGTTAATGAGTAATAATCAATGGATAATACTCGTATTCCCCTGTGGGGAAATCGACAAATCCCACCATTTATAAATAATATATATTTATTGTAAATTTCATAATCGACTAGAATCGTTAAATTTCTCAATCATTATTTGAATATTATATCTAAAAAAATAATTTGAATCAACAATTGTTTAGTCATCTAAATGTATAAAATAATTGACAGTGTAAGTACCAAGTAACATATTCATGAAGAACCTTTCATTTATTTGATATGCTTGGATGACTAAATGATACCCGATTCAAATACTTATTTGAGAAATGATCTTCAAATGAAGATTAATTAATAAATTGAAGGTTCTGTAATGGAATTTATTTGGTGAATGTACAATATTCATAAAAGATGAGATATGTGCATTCTCCATATTATCCAATAATATCTGATGTGAGATTTCGCCTAAATATTTAAAGGGTATATTAAATTGATATTTCGAAGGATTTTATACGAGTTATAAATCCTTGGAGTTTTAATGGAGTTCTATAGCTTTGGTAGGACTCACCAACTGTCACATCCCGGTCCGGGGCGGATCACTTCACGGGCCCACTCCACCACCCTAGCACGATATTGTCCGCTTTGGGCTTACCATTCCCTCACGGTTTTGTTTTTGGGAACTCACGAGCAACTTCCCAGTGGGTCACCCATCATGGGATTGCTCAAGCCCCCTTCTCGCTTAACTTCGGAGTTCCTACGGAACCCGAAACTAGTGAGCTCCCAAAAGGCCTCGTGCTAGGTAGGAATAGGAATATACAAATAAGGATCACTTCCCTGGGCGATGTGGGATGTCACAATCCACCCCCCTTAGGGGCCCGACGTCCTCGTCGGCACATTTCTGGCCAGGGATTGGCTCTGATACCAATTCGTCACATCCCGACCTGGGGGGGACCACTTCCCGGGCCCGCTTCACCACCGTAGCACGATATTGTCCGCTTTGGGCTTACCATTCCCTCACGATTTTTGTTTTTGGGAACTCACGAGCAACTTCCCAGTGGGTCACCCATCATGGGATTGCTCAAGCCCCCTTCTCGCTTAACTTCGGAGTTCCTACGGAACCCGAAGCTAGTGAGCTCCCAAAAGGCCTCGTGCTAGGTAGGGATAGGAATATACAAATAAGGATCACTTCCCTGAGCGATGTGGGATGTCACACCAACACATTTGGGTGAATTGGTTCAAATCTTAGAGATGATGTCTAATTTCCTAAAATCTAAAATACAGTATAAAAAAACCTTCCAAATTCATCAAAATCCTAATTTTTAAATAATTCAAAATCAAATCTTAAGTAAATACACATGTATTTTTATGGACAGGTTTAAAATTCTAATTGATTACAGTCGAATTTCTACACCATTTTACTATGGATATTAAATTTCTTAATTAAGACATAAATTTAAAAATTTGTCTTTTAATCAAAATATTCAAACTAACAATACTAGTCTAAGACATCGGTCAACCATCCTGAAAGATATGCTAATTTTCTTTGAAATTTGGAATTAAAAGTCCATTTATCTGAATTACACTACAAAATAAGGGCTGGTACTTTCTGACCGGGAAGAAAAAATAAAAAAATCAGTTAATAACCCCATAAAGAAAGAGAAGCGGCAAAAATATCTGTTCATAAATCCGTTAAAAGTAGCGCCAAAAATTCTGATCATAATTCCGTACAAAACGAACTTTCAAATAATGACGCAGCCCACTCCATAGTACTCCACAAGCTCACAGTGTCACACATGATGCAAGCATTGTGCAAAAGGGGCCAACTTCAACAAGCTCTGAGACTCCTTCTCTCCAACCCAACCCAATTAAACTCTTATTATTCACTGTATATGAATATCTTACAGCTGTGCATCGACGAACGAGCAGAAAGGGCCGGTCTTTTGGTTCACAGCCATGTAATTACAAGTGGGTTTGGTTCAAATTTGAATTTATATACTAAGCTGATAATCTTTTACCTGCAACATTGGTCGCATGGTTAGTGCCCGCAATGTGTTTGATAGAATGCGTGAGAGAAATGTCGTGTCGTGGACTGCTATGATTTCTGGGTATGTTAAAGGTGGGCGTTATGAGGATGGTTTGATGCTGTTTCTGAGTATGCGTCAGGCGGGTTTTAGAGCTAATCAGTTTGGGTATGGGAGCGCATTGAGGGCGTGTACGAGTTTGAGGTGTTTGGAAGTAGGGCAGCAGATACAAGGGTGTATTGTGAAAGGGAGGTTTGCTGAGAACTTGTTTGTGCAGAGTGCGTTGGTTGATTTTTATTCTAAGTGTGGGAAGATAGAGGATGCACGTTATTTGTTTGAGGAAATGAAGGTGAGGGACTTGGTTTCGTGGAATGCTATGATTGGCGGCTATGCTGTTCAGGGTTTTGCCGATGACTCGTTGCGTATGTTTCATTCGATGATGAAGGAAGGTGAATGTTTATTTTTGTGATTGAAGTTACAGTTTTTTTCTATTCTTATTAGTTGTGTTCTTTTCTTTTTGTTTACTTGCCACAAAGGTAAAATTGGTTTCCGGCTGGAGGTTTCTGATTGAGAAGCAATGTTAAACTAAAGTCTTTTGTATCTTCTGTCATCATATCTTAAGATTTTTATACCATATATGTATCAATACCTTTACTTTCCTCTTAATATTTATGTCTAATTTTCGTATGCGATCATTTAACTCAGGCATGATCCCTGATTGCTTCAGCTTGGTAAGTGTGTTGAGAGCCTTAACCGGAGACAGTGGTCGCATGAAGGTGAGTCAAATACATGGATTCATCATGCAACTGGGTTTTGGATCACACGAGGCTATAAGTGGATCGCTAATCAATGCATATGCAAAATGTGGAAGGGTAGAGAGAGCTCATCAGATATACAAGAGCATGATAAAAAAGGACGTTATATCGTGCACGGCACTGATAACTGGATATGCAAGAGAAGATAACTACAGCAGAGATGTGCTAGCTCTCTTTAAAGAAGTGACTCTTATGCGCATGGCACTGGATGGTATGATATTATGCTCCATGCTTAATATATGCGCAAATATTTCTTCATTGATCTTGGGAAGACAAATCCATGTCCTTACTTTTAAACACCAACCTTGTCATGATGTGGCCATGGGAAATGCTCTTGTTGACATGTATGCAAAATGCGGAGAAATTGAAGATGCTAACCATGCTTTTGATGAGATGAAGGAAAAGAATGTTATTTCATGGACATCGCTGATTTCTGGATATGGAAGGAATGGCTTGGGACATAAGGCGATTGCTTTATATAAAATGATGGAATATGAGGGATTGGAACCTAATGATATCACATTCCTGTCTCTTCTCTTTGCTTGTAGCCATGCTGGACTGACAGTTGAAGGATGGGAATGCTTCAGTACTATGCTTAAAAAGTACAACATCTTGCCTCGAGTTGAGCATTTTTCTTGCATGGTAGACCTTTATGCACGTGCAGGTTTGTTAGACGAAGCTTACAAGTTGATGTGTGACATGAACATAAAGCCTAATTCCTCACTCTGGGGAGCCATTCTTGGGGGGTGTAGCATCCATGGTAATAGCTCACTTGGAGAAGTGGCGGCAATGCATCTTCGTGATATGGATCCAAAGAATTCAGTTAACTTTGTTGTCCTAGGAAGCATTTATGCTGCATCTGGTGCATGGGACAATGCTTTGGAAACGCGAAATTTGATAGAGAAGAGAAGTTTGAAAAAAGAACCAGCACAGAGCGTTTTAGTTTCCACAACAAATAAAACTGTGCTTTTGCAGCCAACTTAAGACAGTAGAACTAGCTAAATTCGTTGTTCATCCTTGGAGAGGAGCAAATACCATTACCATATTGCTCATGCGGATGTTTTTGTTTATGCTCCAAGAGTAATTGAAAGTTTCTAATTCATCTCGTTCTACTTTCGGGACACAGACCTTTTTCACATATTGCTTCTGAACACTCAGGTATTTTACCTTCCTAAAAATTGTGTACTTTTATATTTGTGCCTTTCTTCTTGGTTTTGTGTTCAAAACAGTTTTAAATATTAATATACTAGAGCCTCACCTCACCTACATACATGAAGAATGAGATTTGACATGTTAATATATACATTAATTCTTGAAGTGTCACTTTGCTTTTGGAAAATATTTGACAGGCATAGAGGAGTCATTGGGGTAAAGTTTAATCCACGAAACAATAATAAGCGAAATCAAGGTTCCGGTCGATATGGTCAGAGTGGAGATAGCCCAATAGGATGGCTTCCCCAGGTTAATGTACTTTTATAAGTCCATTCTCTTAAGAGGAACTAAGCCTTTTCAGAATGCTATGCTCAGAAAATTCATCTTATGTTGCGCCACAAAGCAGTAGGAGGAATTGCTTGCTATAATCTCATTATAACCTGTGGCATCGTGCGATTCATACCTTTCTGGTAAGCAATCCCACCCTTCTTAACTTCACATGCGTGTGTTTATGTTGTCTTCTGAATATTGAATCTTCAAAATTTGACGCATACATAGAACTGAAGAACTTACGAGTAAGACTTTTTGTTGCAGGGAAGAGTTACCTGGATTAATAGACTAGAAGAGACAAGTTTGCTGCTGTAAAAATATTCCAACTGCTAAAAGAATGTCTCGGAATCACAGATGGTATCTCATAGTGTCTCAACTGTCTAAACTTGAGAATAGAGTAGAAGTTGAAAAATGAAAATACTTCCTCATGCAAATATATGATTCTTTTTCTTTAATTTGCTACCATATTGGCAAGTGAATCTTTATTGTATGAAGAATGAAAGACAAGTATGGCCATATAAAAAATAAGAGGATCTGGATTTGGTATCTAGCTTAGTCTTGGATTCATTTGTAGTCTACAAGGCATCAACGATTGAGTCTTTCGCGTAAATGTGAGTGACTGTTCTTAGCATCCATCTATTACAGTTCCAAAAGAAATACAACCCGGACACGAGTCTATTATAACACATGACTTGACTGTCGTTCTAAATTAAAAGATGTGTGTCTGCTGCGTTGTTCTATGAGTGTCTGCTGCTTTCTTCTGATTGTTTAGGGTCATTGGTTGCAGTTTACATTCTTGGGGCTGGTACTGACCTTTTCTGCAGTACTGAAGAGAAAACACAACAGTAATGAACTCGATAATAAAGAAGGACGGTTCTTGGTTGGAAGATTGAGAAGGGTGGTTCAACCCCCCAATGTGGTTAGGAAGCACTACTTGCTCAAACAGACGCAGGAGAGGCTCGAAGAGGGGATTTCTAAGCGAAAAGCACAAGGCGGCTTTGCTATACATGCTACTCACCAAAGGGTGGCAGGTGAAGCTGCAAGGAGAAAATGCAGCTTTCTTCGTTCCATATAACTGATATGACTGTGACTAGTCTTATAGAATCGTTGCTTTTTCGATCTTTCAATTTCTTATCTGTGGGAGAAGATAGGAAGGGAAAGAGACTTCGATCGTGTAGATTTCAGTTAGGTTCTGTTGTTCTATCATATTTCTTCCTACGAATTGCCGAAAAGTCACGTTCACTACATATAGTTTGAGGCAGAGTTTCGGGGTATCTGATTCACATGGACAATATCAAATTATCAGTACGACGTTACGAAAGATTTATTTTCAACTAATCTCAATTGAATGTGAAGATAAATGCTCTCAATCTCTTGATCAAGAAAATTGTTTCGCCAGCCAAGGAGGCGGGGACGGTATTGAGTTTTTCATTAGGCGGTAAGATAAAACTCACACGCCACTTTTACCAATTGATTTGGAGACCTAACGTGACTGTCACAAGGTATTTTGTCAAGCATCTTGCTTGAATGACAATCGCGAGTCGTGACCAATATCGTGTGTAACAATAGTGAGTCTAGGGCCAATCGTATACACTCGCCCCTGTGTACTCTGCCAGTGGAGGGGAAAAATTGCTTTCTCAAACTAATTAGTAGGATAAAATAAGAAATAAAGGACAATACTTGCATCTCTTTGGTGGAATGCACATTATCCCATTCTTTGTTAATAACGTATCTTGATTGTATAAATTTTATAATTGAAATCGTCCAAATCCTTATCCTTAATTTGAAGATCATCTATGCTAAAAAATCATTTGAATTGAAATCCTTTAGCAAGCCAAGTGTGTCAAATAAATAGACGGTTGTTCATGGATATGTTATTTGATACTCACATGGTTGATTTATTTTATACGTACAGATGACTAAACGATTTTCAATTAGAATGATTTTGTGCATGGATGATCTTCACATAAAAATTAAGAAATTAATAGTTATGATTTCCAAGCCAAACGATGTATCAAAACTAATCTTACTCGAACATGCACCAACAAGCAATCAAGGCGGGCTATGAGGCAATCACATGATGCACGTGAAAAGCAAGAAGAAAATCATAAGGAAGTGCATCATCACAATGTCACCAGCAATCACGCAGGAAAGGGAAAAGCCCCATTAGGAAGGCCATGTTCGAAAATCCCTTGGGTATGGGTTTGATTATTTAGCCCACACAAGGTCCTTAACAACCCAAATAATCAAGTGAGCTAATGTTGAGGCTAAAAAATGTCACGTGCAAGTCCAATCAAGTCTCGAAGCTCAATTGTCATACAAGCCTCAAGTCAAGCCCAAATAAATGCAAAAGGTGCGGAATCGAGAAAGAGTTATATTTGTAATCATACCATGCTACATTAATCAAGCCACAGATTTGTGTAAATCATGTCATCCTCGTGAGAACTCATGAATATTCATCATGCTAAGTTTTATCACGCCAATCACTATTCATGCTAAGATAAGCCCAAGTCACATGCATAAGGCTTGTCAAGTGAATTGTAGTATGGATGGTTACAGAAGTTCACTGGGCCTACATAAAGTCAAGAATATGGAAGTCTTTGAGTTGCTTGGGAGCGAAAAATTCCAAGCACAAAACCTTTGTATTCCACATAGTTAAGTTTGAGAGAGAACCAGGCTAGTTCCTCATCTCCCTAGTTAGCTAACCAACTTAGTTAGGGAAGAACCAAGCCCTAACCCTTAGAGTCACGCGAAAGCGCAGACAGACATGCATTTAATGAAGCGAGAAGTAGACTTTCCCTTCCTAGCTAATGCAGAAGTCCAACGCACGAAATCCATGAGGCTAGCTACCCAAAGTAACGCCTGTAGAAAGCTGACCCGGAACCCGCACCTCTGGAAAAAGACACAATGCAGGTTCTATGGTCTAGCCTTCCTTCACCAAAAGAAGGGGTACCAGGAGAACTAGGGAGAAAGGAAAGGGAAAAACAAGCCCTAACCAGATATTCTTTTGGGAATGAACCATTCAACTACAAATATAGGCCAAGAACCTTAGAGAAAGAGGCCCAATCCTCCAACTTCACATAGCGAACCAAAGAAACCCAGAAACACATTCTGCAACCTTAGCATTCTCACCTCCCTCTAAGTATTTCAGTCATCGTAAGCCTTGCTTCCACCCTAGGAAACTTAGACTATCCAACAAAGAACACCGTGCAATCATGCTCTCTCAACATGCTAAACTGATAAATTTCTAGCTTTCACATCACACTTCTCTTGATCAAGCCATTATTTGCCTAAATCATGTTATCTTCAAGTCATTGATCCAACTAGGATATTTCCTAAGATGTAGCTAATTCTTTCGAGCTATTTCAAGACTTGGTACGAAACTGAACCAAGAGAGACAAGAAGACTTTTTAAAATCCAAGTCTAACTCAACCTAAAAGTCCCCCAACAGATCCTTCTGCGAATACAATTTGTTAGTTTTTGTCTGGAGTTCATAGAGTGCAGTATCAATGAATTGAATTCCAATATTGTGCCTCTATTGACATGCAATCTAGTTTTGGTTCTTTAGTTAAGCAACTTAAGCTCCGAATTATTTCGTCATTCTTCCGAAAGTTCTTACCCAACAAGTGGTTCACTTTTTGCACCAGCCGCCTATTCGACTGTTTGTTAAGCCCAGGAAGGAAGTGTAGGAGAAGGCATTGGGGACCAACCCAAGAACTCTGCAGAAGTTCCGAGGAACTGGGGTTGTAGTGATACTGACATATCTAAGATGTTCATGCGGCGCCCTGCTTTGCGGAGTAGTGACCCTTACCAGCTTCAGTCCAAACTAAGGTCGTTTGGATGTGCTTTTAAAATGACTGAACGCGCACATCTAAACGAGCTCTAAATGTTCTAAGTGTTTTATTCGAGTAATTAATAGAAATCGTCCCCTTAAAAAATGTATTGTATGAACGTATGAAATTTGACAAATTCATATTTACTTGATACAAGTTTTCGGATGTAATGATAATCAATCTTAATGTGTTTTATTCGAGCGTAAAACACATGATTTGTTGTCAGTGATACTGCAGAGCTATTTCCAAAACATAAAAGTTGATGGTGTAGGCAGTGTGAAACCATCATCATGAAACAACTTGTAAGTCCTGGCATTTTCAGCGACATAGATAGCCAATATGATCTATCCAACCTTTGTGAAAGATTTTGCAAAAATGACACTCCATCTAATCAAATTTTGGCCAAGAAATATGTAATTGTCACCCGTGATCTTTTATAAAAGGGTAATGCTAGAGAAATCAAAATTTTAAACCAAATTGTGTAAACCAAATGATATGGTTGATGATGATTGAATTATTAGTTAAATATCGATTAATGTGCTTATTTCTTATTAGTGACACATAATTTGGTTTGTAAATTTGGTCACCCTAATATTATCTTTTATATAAACACATCCTGCTCAATTAGAGTTTGAATAAGCGTGCGTGTTGCAGTATTTGCAAATTTGTAGTGTTTTCTCTTTATTAGAAATTCAACCACCGTTCATTTCCAAAAAATTACTTCTACTTCGTGGTTATAACAATTTTAGAAAGGTTGTTTTAACTGGAGAACCTTGGTTTTTTTCTTTGTTTTAAGATAAAATAAAGAAACAAAAAAAGTTCATGGGTGCTTCCAAAAAATAAAAAAATAAAAGTTCATGGGTACTTTGGTATCTTGATTTTAAAGTCGGGCGTGCAAAGAAAATTATACCTTGAAAATGGGTGGCCAATCCATAGAACATTTTCCTTGATGGAATTGTGGATGAAAAATGCACGGAGCTGCCACGTTGCCAAATGAATGAGGATCCTTTTCGGATTCTCTTTGTGAGGTTTCTAGGGATCCTCCAATCATATCCGAACATCGTATATTGTACGATCAGAAGTTATTATAAATTTTTTTATTTAAAATTGAATATAAACAGTACTTGATGAAAACTGGTTGCACAATATACGATAAACGAACGTAATTGGAAGATCCTCATGATCCTTACAAAAGATGATCCAAAAAGGATCCTCATTCTTGCCAAACGACTTTGAGTTTAGGGGGTCAATTATAAAAACTTTTAGTAAAGATGGCAAACACAGAAAAGAGGAAAAATTCAAGGGCATAAATGCAATTTTCCAAATGAAATGAAATTTGCTGGCTCATAAGTTTTAATCGTCCGAACAAGCGCCTACAAAATAGAGACAGATTGTATGTCGTGCTGTTTGGATGTCTTTTCTACTTCCTTTTATTTTATGCAATCATGACCAAACAATATATATATAACATGTTAATATAATTTAATTGTGACTGTACAAATAAAAGAATGAAAATAGCATCCAAACAAGAGGCTGCCTCCCTACAAAATTCCGAGGAAATGAATCTATAAAGTAAAATCCTGTCACCGTCCCATTGTGCTGCTGCTGTAGATAGATAGAGGGAGACCCTTTGTCTTCTCTTTCACTGACACCTCCTCCTCCTCCTCCTCCTAAAAGCCAAACCCTTTTAATTTCTATGGTCTTTTGAGTGAATGGCTTCATCTCTTTTCGCAAGGACTCTCCTGGGTCATCGCCTTTTCCACTCTTCGCCTCACTCTCTCTGCCAAAAGCCCCAATTTTTCACCTCCCTCTTCAATGTAAGTAGCAACCTTCCTTTCTTTTCGTGTTTAATCTTCGATTTTGATTTGTGGGTTTTGTTCTTTTTGATGATATGCTCATTCCCTTTTGGTTAATTTTCGATCTTTTGGTTTTAGCCGGTCATTTTTCTTGCTCTATATATCTCAATTTTTGTATTTTGTTCATGGGTTTTAGTTTTTTTAGTGAATTGAGTTAGGAAATTTGGTCTGGAATGTTTGGGAGTGCTTTCCTGACAAGGGTTTTTCTTTGTTTGATCAGTTAAGTGATTTGTGGTAATGTTGTAGTTTACTATTGTGAAGGTGTTTAGTGTGATTGTTATGTAAACGGTCTTAGTTCCTGAATGTATTCAATGACCCTAGCAGCTCCGTTTGACTCCGGTAGCCATGAACTGGAAAGAAGGGAATTTGTTGGAGTCTGCTTGTATGTTTTCTAGATTCCCCCTTTGATTGTCGTTATGATATAAAGTGTTCGGTATTGTAGTTCTCGAAGTGATTTATTGGCTGTGTGTTTAATTAAATATTATATACACTACTTGGATATCGATTGATGTAGATTACTCCTGTCTAATTTACATAACAAAGTCGATCAAACCATTGAAAATCCTGTAGTTTCTTAGGCGGAAGAGCTTCCTTTAAAGATGTTTTTCTGGATTGAGTGATTACAGTGGAATCGTTGAGAAACATGTACTCTTCATAGTGTGCAAAGATTATTGCACAATCCTCTTTACCCAAAAACTCATGTTTTATTTTAAGAGGCCTTGTCCGAATCATCCACAATTGTTCGTCTTCTCAGTGATTCCATTTTGATTTGCACTTCATAACATTTGGGTAGTAGTTAACTTAATCATTAAGTTTGTTTATTAATTTGAAATACGCTCTTCATTTTGAGCTGTTTACTAAATCTAATATTTTTTCTTATGTCAAGATTTAACATAGTGATTTTTCTGTCAATGCAGAAGGGAACAGAACACTTTCGAGCTGACCCTACCTATACAAAATATAGAACATCTGCCTGGGTTCCTCGTGTTATGGCTTCATCAGTTGCTGGCGCAAGAGCTGATTTTACAACACAATCTGTGTCTACAAAAGAGCCTGTTGTTTCTGTTGATTGGCTCCATGCTAACCTCAAAGAGCCTGATCTGAAGGTACCGTGTTTTGGCTTGTTTATACTGAACTATTTATTCATCCTCCCTTTTCTTCCACTGGAGTGTAAGTCTGGAATAAGTTGAATATATTACTAACGAATGCTTGATGCTCAGTGCTCGTTCACCTTTTATTATATGTAATTTTTTTCAATCGGTTCATAATGTATGTTGTCATCATCATGATTTTCTGTTCTGCTTTCCTATATGCTTCCTTTTTCCCTGTGCATGTTGGTAAACTTTTTTTAGTTATCTACTTCAGGTGCTAGATGCGTCTTGGTATATGCCTGATGAGCAAAGGAATCCAATTCAAGAGTATCAGGTACTCACCAAGCTTTCTGGACTGATGCTGTCATTTGATAATTCTTAATAATATCTGTATCAATTGATTCAATTCCAATCTTGTTCTAAGATCTTCATGTTATTTCATTTGCTTCATTTTCCACTACGGCTCATTTTGGTCAATTAAACCTCTTCTTCATGACAGGTTGCTCACATTCCTGGTGCACTTTTCTTTGACGTGGATGGAATATCAGATCGCAATACAAAAGTAAGATGTTTTCTATTCTATGTTTCTTGTCAAAATATGGTATCAGATCACACTAGTATCGCTAGCAATGAATACTAGTGTTGGATGTTGAAATCAGCAGCCTTATTTTCTTTGTTTCTTGAGCTTCATTCTGGCCCTTTTTTCGCATAAGGATGAAACTAGTATGGCCACAAAACGCCCGAGTCTATTTTCTTAGCGTGCCAACTATATTCTTAGCAATTTATTTCGTTCCACTAGTTTGAGTTAACTTAGAAATACATTCTTATTTAGCCATTTTAGAGAAGAATTCAGATTATATCATTAAGCTATTAATATTAATCTGATGAATGACTGTTGACCAAAAAAATAAATATGATGAATGATTCTTCATGTCAACAAATTTTGATGAATAGTTCTTGATGTTGTTCTTATGAGTGTGTGGGCCATAATGGCCAGGCATACACACCACTTTTCTAACTATCTTGCTCTTTCCTGTTCTCTCTTATTGAAGACTAGAATTATGACTTGTAACAGTTACCGCATATGTTACCATCAGAGGAAGCCTTTGCTGCTGCTGTTTCTGCTCTTGGCATTGAGAATAAAGATGATCTTGTTGTGTATGATGGAAAAGGGATCTTTAGTGCAGCTCGTGTGTGGTGGTAAGTTATGGGACTGATTTGGAAGATTTAAAGTTTTAATTCATCTGAAATGTAATAAAAAATTGTGTTTTGCGCTTTTTCATTGTGTTACAATCTAATGTTTCATTTCCTTATAAAAATGAAAGGATGTTCCGAGTATTTGGCCATGACAGAGTTTGGGTTTTAGATGGAGGCCTGCCAAGGTGGCGTGCATCTGGATATGATGTTGAATCTAGTGCCTCTGGTGATGCAATTTTGAAAGCTAGTGCTGCCAGTGAGGCAATAGAGAAAATATACAAGGGACAAGCAGTAAGTTCATTATATACTTGTCTCTGAAAACAGTTATGTTTTAACACTGACTGGGATTTTGGAATTCTCGGACTCCAAAAGCCATTAACATATGGTTATGGTTATTACAGTATGTTTTGTGAAATCTAGATGTTGTTCTTTTTATTTATGTTTTTCATAGTTTTAACGTGGACTCTTAAGCCTGGATAAATGTCTTTAAATCATAGGTTCTCTCTTTTTTTTTCACTTCCTCAATTCTTGTAGTGTCTGTTTGGCTGTCTACTTTCTCTATACCTTGTACATTGTAGATTTTCTTGAGATCTAGAAAATTGCAATTCTCTCCTCTAGTGACATAAGAAAAGAAATTTGGAAGTTTGATGGGGGGTTGAGCTGTTGAATGTTATCCTGGAGTTAAGAACTTTAGTTTTCCATTCTTTGGAAAAGTCAAAAGGAGGGTGTAGGGTTCGGTCAGTCCTCGCAGGTCCCATGTCAACTAAATTGGCCTCGTCTGACGTGACGCTTTTCCTAAGTTTTTATGATAACATGTGATAGTTTTCAAGGCTGCTTGTGATGGTTTTGGGGAAGAATTTTTGTTCTGCAGGTTGGGCCCACCACATTTGAGACGAAGTTTCAGCCACATCTTGTCTGGACTCTTGATCAGGTTTGGTTTCTCTATCTTAATTGACTAGTAAAGGTGCATATCTTGAATTCAGCCCTGAAACTTGTGGCAAGTATGGGTTTTCAACTGACAAATTAACCAATTCTGCTACTTTTTTTTTTATACTCTCGTTTTATACTTCCTACTGTATTTTTCAGGTTAGAAAAAATGTTGAGGACGGAAGGCACCAACATATAGATGCCCGATCAAAGGCCAGGTATTCTTTATGCTAAATCAACTGATATGAAGCTTGAGTAATTCTTGGTCTGTTTTATTTTCCCAGTAATTGTGTAAATCACCAGCTTGCACGTGTTCATTCATGCATTGTGAAATAATTGGTTTGGTTAGTAATCTTGATTGAGATAAGATAACAGTATGTTGAGCACTCAAAATTTTCTCTGCCTTACACAAAGGAACTTATGCAGATTAGATGGAGACATTTTATTAGAGTTCTTTTCCTGTTTGTGATGTGTTTTTTTTAAAAAAAAAAAATAGATTACATGGTCTTTGAAGGCCTATTTCTGATTATTTTTCTTGCATTAACAATCTTGGATTTGACGGAAATTTGGTGTTGCAGGTTCGATGGAACTGCATTAGAGCCTCGAAAAGGCATAAGAAGTGGTCATGTACCTGGAAGCAAGTGCATTCCTTTTCCACAAGTAAAAAGATCAAAATCTTGTGTTACCTCTTAAACCGCAACAAAGTCTAGTTGGGTGTGTAAAGAATGGTATGCTGCATAAGCTGTTGAGTAACAAATGGGTTCTTTCCTTGCAGTTGTTGGATTCTTCAGCGACACTCTTACCAGCAGATAAGCTGAAAGCCCGATTTGATGAAGAAGGTAATAACTTTTTTGTTTTATTATTACTTTTTTGATGTAGTCTTAGATCTTGAATACTTTTGTATGTACCCTCTGGTGCTCTACGGTTTCCAAGCGATGTCTCCTTTTTTAAACATAAAAACTCAACCGCAGACAAATATTTTAATTGGTCACAAGGTATCTGTCTGTTATTATTAATTAATGACCCTAACCTCATGCTGCAGGTATCTCCTTGGAAAGCCCTATCGTTACTTCATGTGGTACTGGTGTGACAGCTTGCATTCTTGCATTGGTAATCTCTCTCTTCTCTGGATACCCAGCACCCACTAAATTTCTTGGAAGTATTAGAGCTGCAGAGATGAACTTTTTTTTTTGCAATAGTTGATCATGAACGTAAACAATGGTTTTATTTTTCCAGTTACGTTCTTTTAATAAATATTTTAGCAAGGAACCATGCCGCATTTATTCATACTTCTCGTATTCATGTGCTCTCTTTCAGGGTCTTCATCGACTTGGTAAGCCTGATGTACCAGTCTATGATGGATCGTGGACTGAATGGGGAGCGCAGTCCGACACACCCGTTGACAGTTCTACAGAAAGTGTGTAATGGAGTGGTATTGCCGGATGCTTGTTGGAACCATGAATAGCCTGGGGTTTGCCAATACTCAGATTACAACGAAAGAGGTTGCATCTCAATTAAGACATCCGGTATAAGTCATGCTATTGAATTGCAACCTGTGTTTTTCTTGTTAAAATCTCAACCTTTAGTCCCCTCCCTTGTTTGAACACTGATGAGAATCATCCTTGGTGGTAAATATTTCAAGTCGAAAACCATGTACTCTTCCTTGGCTTGACAAAGTAAATAAGTTTTGTTTCCATATTTCTTGAACTTTTCCTTGTTGAAGATGATTTTCGGCAATTTTTGGCAATTTTTTATCTTCTGTTTCCGACGCCATTACAGAAAATGGAACTGACTGCTGGATTTATATTTTCAAGAGATGAAAAGATACATACGAACACCGAACAGAAACTAGAATACGATCTCGATTCGAAGAGAGAAACATCATATTTACATGCATAAAATTCTTGTCAAGTAGTAGATGTGAGCAGTTGGTTGAGATTGTTGGAGAATGAAGGCTTTGATTGAGCATCAAAGTGTTTTGCTAGTATCGCCACAAACTTCTTTGGGACCAGGCAGTTATTCTCCAAATATAGCTTCTCTTGAAGAACAGGAGATGCAACTACTTGCAGCTCTTCAATGGGAGGGGCTTCTTTCAATTCCTGCACGCATAAGATCCTATGTTATAAACAGTTTTATAAGTTTTCTTTAAGCAATTAGGAAAATTATTTCCGCACGCTCTCTCGATCCACTTTGACTCCTCTTGTTTCTAGCTACAAGATTGAATCGAGGAACAAAAACGAGCATGGGCATGGAGGACAAAAACGGAGTGTGAAAATTATTTTCCAGTTAAGCAATCTAGTATCATCTACACTCGAATTCAGGCTTCTGAAATAAGCAAAGACAAGATTGGAAAAATGGGTTATTCAAGCAGGATTAATTGTTAACAATTATTCATTATTTTAATCATCATAATCATTAAGATAATTGGATTTACACAGATAAAATGATAAAAAGAAAAAAACAAGGGCTAAAAAAAGAGCTGGATAAATCGATTTGATGTTACATGTATATAGAATAAGATCCCAAATTGAAATTATTTCGAATGTGACGGTCAGATCGTCAAGTGGATAATATCAATAAACAAAGGAAAGACAGTAACTAGACTTTTGGATGGTGGAAGTAAAATTTAGAGGGAAAAACTCAGGAAAATACCTTTAATGACCCCATGAGTTGAAGAATCCCAACTTGGGCCTGCAAGTACTTGACATAGTTGTAAGCAGCAGGTGAGCATCTCAGCTGTGTTCATCTTACTTCCTCCGGGAACAAGCTTCCCTAGCTCTTGAGTCTTCTCTGTGATCTTCCTCCTCCTCTCTCTAGCCGCTATACTCTGCGCCGACACACATTTTTCACCCACTTTTTTCTTATTAGCAGCATTAGTTATACTCTCGTGTCCAGGATCAATGTTTGCTCCTGTGCTATTAGTTAAACCCTCCGGAAGTTGATCGAATTTGGGAAGTGGAGTAGCAAAAAACTTGGGGACAGGCACCAACGAGGGTAGCGGACACAAATTTGGAACAAACCCATTAGAGAGAGTAAAATCCGGGAAGAAGCAATCTTGGAAACATTTTTGGCGTTTCGGGTTGGGGTAGGGATTGAAATCAGGGGCAGTGAGAGAGAAACTATTATGTGGGAGAAGAAGATGATCATCAGTAGTAGTATCATGATCATGATTTTCAAGGTTTAGAAGATCGTAGGGGTCATACCATGAATGATATTCATCAACAAAGCTGTTGGAAAAGTTGGAATTAATATTATACTCGGAATAATAATAATATTGAAGGAAGTCTGCTGTTAAGAGCTCTGCTTCCAAGTTTTGTTGGAAACAATTAGTGATCGTCATCTCTGAGTCGAAAACCTGAGGAGGTAATGGACTCAAGGCCATGAAATATACTGTGCTTAAAACCTGAAAAAAGAGAGAGGAAGTAAAAGAAATTAGAAAATGAATACAGCATAGAGAAATTAAGTATACGTAGTTGAGATTTTAACCATGCATGCATAAAAAGATGCTTAATATTTCATACAGAAGCTGTAACGTGCACAAGGCGAGTACGAAAGGAAGTATATACATAGCGATTCGTAGCTTACAACTATGTATAACTGCAAGAAGGTAAAACTGCAAGAAGTGAGAGAGAGAGAGAGAGAGAGAGAGAGAGAGAGAGAGAGAGAGAGAGAGAATTGTACCTGAGAAGATACTGTGTAAGGTGAAAATGTTGGTTGTTGTACAAGAGTAGACAGAAGCAGACCTAAACAAGACCTGAGATAGAATTACCACTAATTAACTGCTACAACTTATAAAAACCGACTTAATCCTTAATTACTTGCGAGAGAGAGAGAGTGTGTGTGTGTTGAGAAAAGAGTGGAGGTTGAGGGTTGGAACGGTTACCAAATACCAACCTGCGCGGGAAAGTCTAGGGTTTTTAGCTTATCTTAACTGTAACTGAAAACCGCTATACGTGGTGGCTGCAATGCCCTAACTTTTACCTTGTCCAAACACCAACGTTAACTCTTTCATATATAGCATTAGGACAAAAGACTATAGTTTATCTTGTTAATTTCAAGTACTGAAAATTAAAAGGATTAACATTGACCTAAGGGGAAAGGGTTTAATTACGACATCAGTATGCTAAGGTTTTTTTTATTGGGTTTGCTTAGTTAATTACATAGTCTAATTAAATATGGTCCCGCTAGCGTTATTTGGGTGCACTTTACATACGTTGTACAATATTTGAACTTATGATCCAATATGCCGACAAATTTATGAACTAAAATATATTAGATGAAGAAAATATCATTATTCATTCTAGTTTTTAATTTCGCTTACATGATTAGTTAGTGTTGTTATTAGAACCACATTATTGATCACTTCTCTATTACAGGTGAGTCTCTCATACATAGCTGAAGCTTATCTCTATTAAAGAGACGATCAATATATTTGGTACAATTATTCTTAATGATATATATGTCGAGTTAAGATTAGCCATTGCTAATTTTAGTAATATGAAAATATTGACTATTAATCTATACTAATCTGAAATGGCATATGCCCACACAAAACCGTGATTGCCACCCCATATATACCAGTTCAACCGTAAAATTTGGAATCTGATATTTGTGGTAGGTATAGTGACCGAATATTGCTCTCTCACTAGACAATTTGGCATGTTTGTCAAAGGTTAATATAGAAACATTACTTTAGATCCAAGAAATCTCACACTCGTTTAGAACCGTTCGTTTAACACCAAATATAGAAGAAAAAGAGAAAACTGTGGAGAAAAACAGGGTCAGACTGTAAGGCCTTGGTTCATCTTCTCTCAATCTTCAACCTTCTCACGTCAATACATTAATTCTCCTTTATATTTTATTTTAGTTTAAATTTTTTTAAAGTAAAACTCTAAGTTCTATCTGGTAAAGTTCAATCATGGCAACGGGAGAGAAGATCGAAGAGCCTGGAAAGGATAATAAAGTCACTCATCCTGAAGAACAAGAAAAAGAGTTATCCAAGGATACCCAAGACAAGGGTAATGAAGCAAAGGATTTGAAAAATATTGGGGAAAGTGGTGAATCTAAAAAGAATGAGGACGTCACTGAAAAGGCGGTGGCCGAGGAGAAGAAGAAGAAGAATGAGGATGAAATACAGAAGAAGAACAATGCAGTTGAAAAGGGAGATGAGAAAAGTTCAACAATGGCGATAGAAGAAAAGCTAGAAAATCCCCAAGAGGATGTGAAAAATGTAGGTGAGGCAGGTGAATCTAAAAAGAATGAGGGTGTAATTGAAAAGGAGGTGGTGGAGGAGAAGAAGAGGAGTGAAGGTGAAACGAGGGAGATTGTGGTGGAAGAGAAGGCTAAAGAAGGAGAAATTGAGGATGTGGTATTGGAAGAGAAGAAGAACAATGATCAGGTTGAAAAAGTTGAGAAAAGCTCATCATTCTGGGACTTAAAAGAGCAGGAGAAAAGGGCTTTGATGGAGCTGAGATCGAAGCTCGAAAACGCAATACTTGAGAACAAGTTGTTTAAGGGAAATAAGAAGAAAATGGTGGAGCATGAGAAGGAAAAGGTATTGGAGAAGGAAGGTGGAGAGAAAGAGAAAGAAATAGAGAGTGAGCCTGTGAAGGAAGCTGAGAAAGAGAAAGAAAGTTCCGAGAAAGTAGAAGAGGTTGAAGAAAAGGGAAAGATATCTGAGAAGGCAGGTGGGGAGGAGAGAAAATCAATGAGGGGAAAGGAGAGGAAAATTTTATGAAAGAAGCTGAGAAAGAGAAAGACAGTTTGACGAAAGTAGAAGAAATTGAAGAAAAGGGAAAGATATCGGAGAAGGAAGGTGGAAAAATAAATGAGGGTATAGGAGATGAAATAGTCGTGGAAAAAACTGTGAAGGAGAAGGAAGGCTCTAAGGAGGTAGAAGAAAAGTTAGTGGTAAAAGAAGAGAAACAAGACGGTGATAAACCTTCCAAGCAAGAAGACGAGGAAAATGCGGAAAAGGCAGAAGAAGGCTTGAAAGAGAACAACAATGAGGCTATTGATCAGGATAGAAAGCTTGACGTTATCGATAAGGATATCACAATTTGGGGAGTACCCTTATTGCCTAGTAAAGGAGATAGTGGCACTGATGTGATACTATTGAAGTTCTTGAGGGCCAGGGAGTTCGATGTCTATGATGCTTTCGAGATGTTGAGGAATACGCTCCAGTGGAGGAAGGACAACAAGGTGGATTCGATCTTGGATGAAGAATTTGGCAATGATCTTGGTTCCATAGGGTGTATGAATGGTGTGGGTCGTGAAGGACATCCGGTTTGTTATAGCAATTTTAAGCTGCTCGGGGATGAAGGGGTGTATGACAAAATACTAGGGACTGAAGAGAATCGCTATATGTTTATAAGGCGGAGGGTTCAACTGATGGAGAAAGCAATTCAGAATCTCGACTTTAAGCCTGGTGGAGTGTCCTCAATCCTCCTAGTCAATGATCTTAAGGACATGCCTGGTCCTTCTAAGAAAGAGCTTCGACATGCTACAAAGCAGGTTGTCGGGATACTTCAGGACAACTATCCTGAATTTGTTGCAAGAAATGTAAGATCCTTCTTTTCATGAGCCTTCAAATTTTCATCCATACAATTTTCTTTATATCATGCCTTGCAATGCAAGTAATGGTACATTTTACATTTTGGTGTAGATCTTCATCAATGTTCCATTCTGGTACTATGCCTTAAGCGCTACTAGCGCTGTCCTATTGCCTTTCTTAACTCCAAGAACCAACAGCAAAGTTGTCTTCGCACGCCCGTCCAGGGTCACGGAAATCTTGCTCAAGTAACATCCTTAGCTTCATACATCACTCCTTGTTGATTGACCTATTAGAAAGTAGTGAACTAAAACTTATGATTCTTCATTACAGGTATATAGCTGCAGAGGAACTACCGATCCATTATGGCGGGCTGAAGCGGGAAGATGAGTCTGATTTCTCAACTGAAGATGCTTCCGCAGAGATTACTGTTTATCAATCATCATCAGAAACTATTCAAATCCCTGTACCAGAGGTATGTGCACTCAAAAAAATTATTCAATCTTATGGCTACTATATATCAAACCCGAAACCATAATAATATGTTGATGGTTGATGCGAAACAGGCAGGAACAACTTTAATGTGGGAAGTTACCGTGTTGGGTTGGGAAGTACACTACAAGGAAGAATTCTTTCCAACTGATGAGGGATCATATGGCATTATCATTCAAAAGGGCAGGAGGGTTGGTGCGCAAGAGGGTTCTCTCCGAAATTCTTTCACAAACAGCGAACCTGGAAACGTTGTTTTAACAATTGAGAACGGATCATTGATGAAGAAGAAACGCGTTTGTTATCGATACAAGGTCAAGAATGGTTCTTGAGAAATTGTACTCAGTCTGAAAAGTTTTTATGAAATTGTTCAAGATAGGCAGCAGGCCTGGGAAGTCCCATACAATAAGTTACATAGCTAGCACAAGTTTTCTTTTATTAATGACAATGTCATTTAACACAGCATGGTTTTGGCCGTGTAATTTGTGAATGTGTTTCCACTCGGAATTGGATGACATTTTTTTCTATGAATTTTTGGAGGATGATATTCATATATAACCTAGTCGCTGGCCACAATTTTACGTTAGTGGCGGCGTTGCCATGTTTATGAATCTTCAAGTTTTGTTTGTAGATCAATCATTGAAACGTTCAATGCTTCTTCTGAGAATTCTGTTAAACCCTAAACATATTGGATGGAACTAGGCCTGATTTTCGGTCGGAACGGATCGAATATGTTTCTAAATATAATACAAAAAGTTTTGGAAATGAATTCAATTCTAATTTTGGAATCTCAAAATTATGAGAGTTACATGACCTCATCAATACCAAGTTTAAAAGTACGTCATCTAAAAGTTTGATAAAGTTCTCATCCACGATCGCGTGGCCTAATGGATAAGGCGCTCGCCTCCGGAGCGGGAGATTGTGGGTTCGAGTCCCATCGCGATCGTTCTTCGTTTTAATCAATTTTATTTTGCTGAGTGCAATTTCTTATTCTTCATGTTGAACTTAAATGGGGGCAGAATTGGAAAATCAGTTTTCTTCACTCTATTCTCATTAGCAATGCTACAATTACAAATTTTTAATTACAGTGATTTCATGATTTTTCAGTCTCACCATGAGTCTATGAATTTTTTTGAACATTTATCCTCCGACCATAAATGAATTTTTTTTCTTAAAAAAAAAAAAAAAACAACAACAGGTGGCAAATCACGATTGTCTAATAAATGAATTAAATGTTACTAACAATTTTTTTTTTATATACAAGCAATAGCAGGGGAGAGAACGATTAGAACACAAGACTT